TGGAGGTGATGGTGATGGTGGGGGTAATGATGGTAATGGTTGTGGTGGTGATGGTGTGGTGATGGTGTGGTGATGGTGTGGTGATGGTGGTGGTGGTGGTGAAGATGGTGGCGATGGTATAATGTGGCATGAGGCTCATGTCATTAAGATTGAGGACCCTGATTTTCTGTGATGTTTCGTTGCCTGATGATCTCTGTCTAATCCCTAGCCCTTAGCAAAGTCTTGCACTGGAGTAGATGGGCGGCCAATCTCCATACGAGCCCATATTTTGTACAGGAAGAAGGCTGCACTCCTCTCCGGGCCAGCATGGGGTTGCATGGGCGATGCATGTGGAGGAGACCGAGGAAGCCATGAGAATCTCAGCTGCTGGGAATTTGCAGAAATCTAGAGGGTACTGTGTGCAGTCAGAAGCAGCGAGCTGCCCACATACATCAATGTGCTAGGGGTCCCCACAGTGCTGAGCGAGGAAAGAGGAAACAGATCTACACGCACATATAAATGTCTGTCTCTACCTCTACCCTCCCTCTCCCTCTCCCTCTCCCTCTACCTCTATCTACTTCTACCTCTCCCTCTACGGCCGCGGTCACCCGAGTGGGTGTTTGGAGGAGAGAGAATACCATCAGCACAGGCGCTTGGCTCCAGACCAGACGACCTGCCGCGTGTCTCACAGCTTCACCCCAGTCCCAGCTCAGGGGCTCTGAGAGGTCCTGGAGCCCAGCAAAGCAACTGCTGGTTTCATTGGTGCGGCCGCTTCCCACGTGACGCTGTAGAAACCGAAGGACAGGGCCGCCGTGCAGAGTGACAGCTCCACCGGGACACTCCGTCCTCCCGGGTGTCCAGCACTCTCTCAGCGTGGCCAGGCATCGCCGCCTGCCTGTGGCCCCGGGTCACCGCTGTCATCTTTATCGTAAACATTTCCCAGGTGGCCTCAGCGCTGCTCCTGGGATTGCGTGTGGACAGGCCTCTTCCACCTGTGGCCCCGGCAGCATCTTTATGGCTGTTGACCCTGCGCTGTCCTGGCTCTGGGCTGTGATGACCGGCGGAGAGGCCAGGGTGGTGCCTGACGGCGGCGCACACAGCAGTTTCCGGTGGGCCACACCGGCGGGCTGGTATTTTTTAATGCTATGTATTTCTTTGTCGCCGTCTGCCCTGCCTAGGTCTTTGAGGACACTGGCTAGGTCTCCTTCCTACTTAGCCCTCTGCACAAAGTAGGCATCTGATTTTTAGCTTTTCTACCGCAGTGCTGAGGGAAACCAGAATAGGTCACCCAAAATAGGCTTTGGATGTGACGGCTATTCTGAGCTGAAGGCCATGAAAGCAGCCCCTCCCCCTTCCTGTCAGAACCCGGCGGGTGGCGGGGAGGGGTACAGGGAAACTCTCCTTTTCCTGGGGAGGGACAGAGCTGAGCTCAGAGGCAAGCCCCGGGAGCCCACAGACGAGCCCCGGGAGTGATTTTTAGCTTTTCTACCGCAGTGCTGAGGGAAACCAGAATAGGTCACCCAAAATAGGCTTTGGATGTGACGGCTATTCTGAGCTGAAGGCCATGAAAGCAGCCCCTCCCCCTTCCTGTCAGAGCCCGGGGGGTGGCGGGGAGGGGTGCAGGGAAAGTCTCCTTTTCCTGGGGACAGAGCTGAGCTCAAAGACAAGCCCCGGGAGCCCACAGAGGAGCCCCGAGAATCACAGAGGAGCCCCGGGAACCCACAGAAGAGCCCCAGGAACCCACAGACGAGCCCCGGGAACCACAGAGGAGCCCCAGGAACCACAGAGGAGCCCCGGGAACCCACAGATGAGCCCCGGGAACCCACAGAGGAGCCCCGGGAACCCACAGAGGAGCCCCGGGAACCCACAGACGAGCCCCGGGAACCACAGAGGAGCCCCGGGAACTGCAGACAAGCCTTCCTCAGAGTCCCTCCCACAGTCTGCGTCCTGGAAACGGAAGCTGCGTCCTCTGCCTGCCAATGCGCTACAAATTACCTTTCCTGCTGAAGGTGCTTTGAGTTACTTTTCATTGAGATTTTTTGTCACGTGGCGTGGGCTACACGTGTTAATAAACCACCTGGTTTTGTCTTGTTAGTGCCCAGCTGAGAGCCTGGGGTGGGTGGAGGCCAAGTTTTGCGTCCCCTCCAGCGTCCTTCTGAGATGAAAGGTGCCGGCAGCGGGAGAATCCCCTCGGCACCACGGCTGAGTGAAGCTGCTCCCTGCACAGAGGTTTGCTGAGCGCATGCTCCGCCCGGTCCCGCTGGGGCTGCAGTCACACCAAGGGCCTGCCGCCTGGCCTCTCCCTGCCGGGCGGCAGAGATGGAGTGTGCAGACACTGCCCAGGAAACTGAGGCAGCGAGTGGGCTGGGGCTTCGGCTCACCCTGTGGTCATGTGGGCGGAGCTGGTCAGGCAGCGGGAGCCCTGGGCCAAGTCCCTACAGAAGGGGAACCCAGCGTAGTCATTGCAGGGCCGCGGGACAGGCCTGGGCAGCCACAGCAGGCGGCCGGACCTGAGAGCGTGGCGGCAAGTCTGGCCTTCACCCCGAGGGACAGGAAACCCAGCGGGGCTCTGGCAGAGGGAGCGTGCGATCTGCGCCCCTTTAGAGGTGATTCTGGGTGTTCTGTTTGGGGGGCCACGTAGCGATGGTTAGGAAATGGACCCTAAACCTGTGGGAGGCACACAGGATCCCGGGTGCTCCTCCGGGGCTGGCGTGGCGTGGGCCGGTGTCTGCGGAGCGGGCCTCCCCGGAGCTCACAGTGAGGGCCCTGTTGAACCCATAACCCAGCAGACGTCCCCTCACACTTCTGTGTCTCACGGTCCCTGCACACCCAGCTTCTCCAGCCCTGCGGCCTGGTTCTAACACCTCACTGGTTCCCGTTGTAACCGCATGCTCACTGCCTGCCTGAGAGTCAC